TATAAAATGAGGCTTCAAAAAGTTACAAAACTGAGTTTGGAACCTGGGTCTGTGGCTCCAAAGGTCGCGTGTGCTCCACAGGCAATGCATGAAGGGCTGAGGACAAGCAGTGGCAAATAACGTGCACCCCCAAACCTGAACTTAGTATGGCCTCACACCAGCCTGCCTACCAACCCTGCTGAATGGCGAGGGAAGCTCCCAGGCACAGCTGACAGCCAAAAGGTGTGAATTCCTACAGGTAATAACTTTTTTCTCTTAGGAAAAGCTGGCTCTCTCTGATTTCTCCTAAGTATTAGGTTGAAAACACCTCCCCTCGCAAAAAGAAAAAAACAAACAAACAAAAAAAAAACAGAAGGTGGGGAATCTTAGTTTGATTCTGAATGTCCCATTTCATAAGGATCTTGTGCACGCAGCGCCCTCGTCTTCTACAGGCCACACTCTCTCCCTGCACAACGTCCCCGTTCTCTCCACCTCTCATTCATACTGTAACTGGAGGATGGAATGGAAGAGAGAGGGGGGCAGGCACAGCGCTGTGAGCCCCGCAGATGCAGGCCTGCATTGCATGGTGGGGGGAGAGGGCAGCAGAGCTCCGCCCTGCTAAGCCAGCCCTCCCGCAAGGGCCAGGCTTGGACCAGGGCCCTGCTTTCCTGCCCCTGATGGGAAGTGTGGCCAATCTGCCCCCTCCTCGAGACGCCTCTCCTGCAGGAACTGATGCCTGAAGCGCGCCAGAAAGAAAAGAGCACACTTCCAACTGCCTGAGGCTAAGCCGCTGCACCTCCACCGCTTCACCAAGCGACTCCAGTCTCCCAGCCACTGACTCTGCGCTGCTCTCAACAGGACCCCTGAGCCGGGAGCCCCGAGCGCACGCCCCTCAGCGGCCCTTCGCATCCTAGGCGGAAGGGTGTCTGCGGAAGCCTGGCCATCAGGACGCTCGCCACCCCGCACGGCCGCACGGGCGCCGTTACGCGGCCCGACACGCTCGCCGCGCGCTTCACCTTCTTTACCGCGGACGACACGCAAGCTGCCGCTCTGCCGGCAGCGCGGTGTGACTGTGGGCGAGCCGCTCCCCATCTCTCCCCCGGTTCCGACGGAGCCACCGCCACCCGCCC